ACAATTATTGTACTGTTAATTGTTAAAAAAAAAATATATATATATATATATACATATACATATAAAAGAAATATTTTGTATATTTTTACAAATGATATTATATATACGTATATTTAAAATTAAAACGTATTTAAAAATTTAAAAGATTATCGGATCATTACGTTACGTATCCATAAACACTGTGTGTTAACTTTTACGTTTAGTTGTAAATAACAAATTTGCAGATGGCAAATTAAATTTTGTAAACTAAAAGTTTCATCAGTGCCTGATACTAGCCAGATAAGATAAAAAGTCGTGACGTGACGTTTTGCGAGGAGTGGGACTCATTATCGGCCACCTCGTCCATGGACAAGTGAAATTCCCCGCTTGTGCAAGGAAGTAGGTCGCAAAGACATGTTAATGTGAAACAAGAACGAAGCCGGTGAGATATTCTTTCGAAAGTATCTTCGATACGATACTACAGATCGGCGGGATCAAAATTCAAGGCTATTATTAATTCTAACAGACACTTAAAAGCAATCATTAATGTTAGTCCATAATGTGTCCAAAGTACGCGAGGTGCATAAAGTACGGTCAGAATCACAAATAGTTGTGTCCTTGAATATATTATTTGCGTATGTCGTATAAGTCGGGGGTAAAAGCGATATCATCGTCGAGTGTTATGTCGAGTGTTAATTAATCAGGCTCGCTATTCGCCTCGTCGTACGACGAGTGCGAATCGAGTGAGTCCAATTATCGCGGAAGATGATCTTTGGACGTCAGGAAAGATTATTATTGCGAAAAAAAGAAAGCGCATAATTTGTCATATATTTCGAAAGTTGCACGCGAAGAGGGAGAGGATGAGATCGTAACAGCTGATTGGAATCAATGCGCTCGGAGCGCTCGCGATGATCGGGAAAGGGCGTGCAAATTGTTGTTTGTAAGGGAGGTGATTGGAAATGCCAAGTTCTGCAAGGACATTTATTATTGCAAGGAGACCAATAATACGCGCAATTGCAAAACATTCGGAGTGAAGTCGAATGATTGCAACCGGTGGACACGGGAAGTTGGACGCGCGTGGCAAACTTAAAGGAGATGTTTCTCGAATAATGGAAATGGTGAAAGAGAAGCCGCGCAGACGAAGTGTGAGCGAACTGTTCGATTGGAGATGTTTAGTTGAATGCAAGAGCACCATCGTCGGGGAGCACGAGAACGGGAGTGCGGGCGGACTCTTCCTGGAGGATCATAACAGAGAACCGGAAACACGCAGGCGAAAACGATCCGGTACTTGGCCGTGAGTAAAAACGTTCTTTGAATCTCTTTCGGGAAGTAACAAGAAAAAAAGTGGGGTGGTGAACCTTTTAAAAATATCAAATAAAACTACCTAAAAAAAAAAAAAAAACCTGATCTAATAATTTCATATTAATTTATTAGCGAGAGGTGTGGAATAATTCAAATTTAAAATAATTCAAATTTTTTTTATCACATCGTGATTCGATTCGAGTTCGTTTTCGAATTTGAAAAGTTCGAATTCGATAGTTCGAGAATTTCGACTAATCAATTCAATTTTGAATTGGTCACCGATCTTAATTGCCTTTGCGCGTACCTAATTTTTGGCGCATGACGATATGTGTAAAAATTATTTATTTTATTCAGTTTAATTGATACGCCAAATATGAATTTAAATACAGTCAATTAATGCATTCATAGATTCCTGGATAACCAGGATTTGTTTCGAGAAATTTTATCGTTGTCTTCATAGCTGAAATATTATCCATAATAAATTCCTTTCATTTGAAATTATAAATCTAGGAACTAATTATAAGATGCTTCAGGCAGATGATTAATTACTTATTTATTAATTAGACATATTTCTTCAAAATATCTCAAAATGTCATATGCGATTATAATTCTTCGTCATGAGATGTAAATAAAAAATAAATCTTTCATTTGCTCAAATTGTTGCGTAAAAATCGTAAATTGTAATATTTTAAGTTTTTACTAATAACAATAATTACATTCAAATCGATTATTGATTAACGGATTCTTTCAAATCTGCCATAAGAGATATTATCCTAATCATTTTTCAACTTTTTTTTTCTACATTTAATTTTTATAAACTACTCGCAAATTTATGTACGCGATAGATAATTGTCTTCATAAATTTGTTTTAATATTTCATAAATTTGTTTTAATATTACATAAATTTGTTTTATCGTTATTTCATAATTTTATCGTATTTAGAACAAAACTTGAAATGGCTTCATTATATTTTCGTCACTTTGACAGTACTTTATTACAAAACAGTAATATTGTAATTAACCTTTTCGTATTAAAGAAAAGATTTATGATTATTGAAAATATATTATGTTTAAATTAGAATAAAATATAAATCCGGGAAAATTTAATTCAAATTTGATTCGCATTCGAATTGAAGAGATTCGATTCGATTCGATTCGACGTAAACATTTCAGATTCAATTCAATTCAATCTCAAACATGTTATCAAAGATTCGATTCGAGTCAATTTGACCTTGCAAATGTTTAATTCATCCACTCCTCTATTGTTAGTCTGATACTTTTTACAGTGGAGAGACACGAGTGACGTAAAAATTTAACCAAATAGATTCCAGTAAGAAATCAGAATCATTCGGACGTAAATCGATCGCAATTCGATAGCATTCGAAAATGTATTTTTGTTTTCTTCGTCGAGATTTAAGTGTTACGATTTCCACGCAACAATTTGAGCAAATGAAAGATTTATTTTTTATTTACATCTCATGACGAAGAATTATAATCGCATATGAGAGTGTTTGGCTACAACGATGAACGATACGTTAACATGTCAGTGACCTCGAGGTGCAATTACAAAATTGTTGGCACCGTTATTCTACTTTTCATCTTAGATTTTTGCACAAACAGTGCTATTTATTTCATTGCTCTTTGTACATGACTTGAATAACGAAATATCCTTTTAATTAAATAATTTTAATCAAAATAAAAAAATTATCATTTTTTTTTAGAGCTCTCTAATTATACGAAGTAAGTAACACACGCAATTTTAATCTCGGTCTAGTGGTTAGGTATGATATGATTTCTCACTTGGACTTATTTATAACACTGAGATATTTTTTCTTCTTTTTTTCCTTTTTAAATAAATATTGCTAAATGTACTATCATATTAATTAATTCCAACGACGTTATTTTACGTTGGAAAATCATGCCAACTACAAGTAGGCAATTTTGCCAACACGATACCTGTGGACTGTTTTATTTCATAATTAAACTGAAATCGTGTAATTTGATTCTATCTCGCATGTAACACGAGACTTAATATAGGATGGCTTGCTCGAGACTTTTGCTACGCCACGACGTTATCAATCTCGTTAAAGACAAAGTTCTCAGACATTAGAACATTGAACTTCATTATCATTATATAACTTAAATCATTATATAATTTATCATCATTATATAACTTCATTATCGTTATATAACTTAATTTGAATATGGCGAAATATTTAATATGAATTTTATATAAAAAATTAAATAAAATTCAGATGAAAGTATTAAATAAGAAAATAATCTAATAATATATAATTTTAAGATATTCAAAAATTTTTCAATTCCTACGAATAATAATCGAACCTCCTCTGTTTATCAGCCGAGAAGTTGATAAAACTAAAAAAAAAAAAGTAATTAAATTAGAGATTAGAACTGAAGCAAACAAATGGGTCGCGTGTTTGGAATTGATCCTCTGCTCGCGCCTGCGTGTGTCGTGCTGGGTGTCTCGACGTCGGCGTGTTCACGACCTACGGGACATCGCCAATACTCGCCGACACGTTCCTCGTGGTGCGTCAGTGCCAAAGTGTGCCTTACTCGCCACCGATCCGTCGCGTATTATTCTAATTATCGCAAACGTCACCTTTCGTTCCGCCTGCCTCCCAAGGGTGTCTCGACGTCGTCGACGACCGTCGATTGCACGCAATCGATGCACATGGATGAAGCTGAATTGAGGTACGGCGATTAAAGGACAGCAATTTCTCTCGTTAGCACACATTTCTCACATTTTATTTAAGAGCATACGACGTCGCCATCTTCATCCACCTCGTGTGCAAATGCGAATTATTTCTCTCTGGACGCTTGTACTTGGGGGAGGATGAAGAACGTCGCGTAAATGGGGGCAATTTTTCGGGGGTTTACGGGGGTTATCCCCGCGAAATCTCTGTGTTGATAAAATTGTGTGCACGCCGTGTCTTGGTGCCGCTTGAATCACGAATGCCGCGAGAGCAGACTCTCTTGTTGCTCCTTTCTTCGAGAGCGAGAACGCGTTCCGCCTTTCGCCGCACATTCCATCCGATCCGGCTTTTGCTCGATGGGGCTCCCGTATGGCTCGCACCCATGGCGCCTCCATTGCGCCGTCTCCATCGGAATTTTAAGAATTCGCGGTCGATGCAATCGATTACAGAATCGTTCTCTCCGTTTTCTCTCCGTCGATTGGGCCCAGGCGGACCACGTGTCACCTCAAGCGGATCACTCCTCGTGAAGATGTATCCTGCCTCGGTGATGGATCTCATCGTTGTAAATCGTTATCTTCTTCGGCCCAATCGTTGTGACCGATGCCGTTTCAACAGTGTTACTTGAATCTAATAAATAAGATGTTATTCGACACGTGTTCATTATAACGTAATCGGTTCTTTGTATACAAAATTTTTAACGTTTTTTTAGAAAGAGGACATTCGAATGGTATTCCTTTAAAGATCAAGAGAAAGTTTCTCTCACTCTTGATTCATCAGTTTGAGACAAAAGTTAACGTCTCTTTCCACAACTTCCAGACTACTTTCAATAATTTCAATAACGTAATATAAACGCGTCGTTTTTCATTTGTTTCTTTTTTTTTAGACGGTAATCATAATGTACAGCAATACATGAAAATAACGCTAACTGTGCAAGATCAGATTCTGAAGAAAGTGCTGTTACATCAGCGCGTGTGTCCTGAGTAACAAAAAAAAAAAAAAAAAAAAAAAAAAAAGGGGGGGACAAGTACGCGATCGCGTCGAGGAGGTACGGCGATACCAGTAGACGACAAAAATATCGCACTCGAGTGTGCAGACGTGTTTCGTCTCGTGAATTCAGTGCCAGAATTATCTTGGAATCGTTTGCAACACTCGTTGGAAGGTTACTACCTGCAGCATCGACGCGTATCGTGGAGCGAGTCATTACCGACCGCCAACGATAGGAAATCGTAATTACGGCCCACTACTTTCAGCTCAGAGACGTCATTCAGCACGCGACCATCTCGTCACTCGGTCGCTGTCATGCGTGTTTTCGATCAGAATTATCATTATCAGGATTTGATACGAGAAACAAAGCGCAAAGAATAAATATTAACAGATTCGTTCTACACTTTGGAACACGTTCCGATTGGTAGCGCGACACTGGTGTTGTACTAGTTTTAACGTACTTCGGCTTTAACTTAGTGTTACCAGTTTTAACAGTGCAGTGCAACTTAAAAATACCAGTTGTAGAAGCGAAGGCAGCACTTTATTTATCTATGTTTTATCTATGTATTATCTATGTTTCGTCTACGTCAGGAGGTTGAATTGAAAAAAGAGATCGTAATCCAGTAGCAAGTCGCAAAGCAGCCTCGGTGCGGAACTTCGAACGAAGTTCAAGGTTCGGGATATGTCATTTATGAATGCCGTGCGACTTATTCGGAAAAGACTTTTTATGTTGTAAATGCGTTCCTTCTTTGAGGTGAGCTCGACGTTGATTCAAGAAAATCTGCCGTTCCACCGCAAAAGAAGAATATTTTTATACCAGCTGATTTTAAATAACTAAAAAATTGAAAAGAGTGATCTTAGAGATATAATGAAGATGGTTAGTGATAAACTATCATCCACGTTATGAAACATACAATATGAAATCCAATTATGAAATATACTCTTCATTGAAGTCTCATCTCGATTGATACTTTCGAGAAAAGGAATGCTTGTCCTTGAGAATGATTTCGAAGGCCTCTCGACGATCGAAAGACATTCTCAACGCCATTATCTCAAAATGAGATCCAGCTTTAGAATTTAGGAATTCAGAAGAAGAAAGGAATATTAAAGAAGAAAAATTCAGTCAATATACAATAGCGCTTGTGAAAGTTGCCTACCTGGTAATTATAGAATGTTCCAAGAGAACCATCCGCTTAATAGCCTTCAATAGACTGAATAAGAAAAAAAATAAATTCTAGTGAATAAGAAAATAAAGTGAAATAAGAGACAGAAAAAATTAATATTTCAATATTTCAATGACTAATATTTCAATATTTCAATGACTAATTCAAATGAAGCAAAATATTTTAGATATAGTAGTGATTCATTTTTATGTTTTTAAAAGCACAAAATTTTGGCGGTAAAGCAATATACTATTTCGATTTAAAATGTGGGAAATTGGATGATATATGTTAATTTTAGTATCCGTGATTCCTTTCTACTAATAGTACGCGTATCTAAAAATAAACGATTTTGGCACTTTGTTACAAGATACTACTTCACATGTCGCACGATATCTACATGTGATTCCGTTATGCTTCATTAACAAAAAAACATTCAAGGGTATCACGATTCGCTCGGTCATGATAAATTCTTGATATCTTATCGACGTCGTTATGCTTTATCATTATTATTTTATGTGTTTTCATATTTATGATGAAATATAATTGATCGAGTCAATTAATTTTACTGACAGCTTTATTATTTTAAAATATTCTATGCGCTATTGGAAAGTGACTTTCTATTTTGCACTATATTTTCTTATCATCCGATACAAGATATGGCCGATCAAACATCATCTTTACATGATAATGACGTCAGTATACAATATGATTTCGTTTGTGACGTCGCCGAGTCACAGGACGATGGATCAAACGGCTCATCGATGGACAATAATTTACAAAACCGTGTCCTCAGGTAGACCTTACTTAATAATTATCTCTCGTCATAAAAAACAATTTTTCAATATTACATTTAATAAGTAATTTACTAAACTAGTGATAACAAATATTGAAAGCTGATTTGTAGAAGATTATTTATAGAAAATATCTAAGTTAACATTATATTGTTGAATGCGTCTGTCTAATTACAAAATGATTACAAAAGCTGTATCTTCGACGTTATTATTAACTGTTCTGTACATTACATCATGAAGAGATGTAGAATGAAAACTTGCGAACTTGAAGCATCCTGTTGTGGAATGTATTTTTCTGCAAAACAAATGTGCCTGTCATTATTACATTCTGTTAGACTTCTGTTAGACTTGAAGAACACATACAAACATGACGTAAATTGTGTCGTGTCGTAACAGGATAAAAGTAATCCGACAAAAAAATTGCACTAAAAAACTTGTATTAATGTTAAAAAAACTGATGATGTAATTATATAATCTACACATAATCTACAATAAGATAATGTCGGATTAATAATCTTCTTTACTCAGCGTAATGGCAGAACATTAGAACATTAAAACGTGCGCAGCTGATTATATTTCAAATTTATTTTTACGATCGCCATTGTGTATTCGCTCAACAATAAAAGTTATTTTTGAATGCAAAAATGATATATTTTATTTCAAATGACACATATCTTTCACAATTTTATCTTCGTTCATTGTGTTTATTCAAACACAAGAATAAAAATAAATAGCGAAAACGAGCATTTCTTCTTTCTTAAAAGATCAAAAAAATACTTTTAAAAATGCTTCTACGGTTATTTTCAAAAAAGTAAATATTTTTACGAGTATTATCCGGGTCATGCCATTGTTGAATGCCAACAATCATGAATATTGCAATTCACTTCATCAGGGCGAGGAGCAACCTGATATTTGTGAGACCAAAAAAAATTTTTCTCGTGAAAAGATAAATGAAAAAAAGCGAAAAAGGTAGCACTTCAAAAATTAGATTTTTAAGTTGAATATACTCGTGGTTTTGTTCTGCACCTGAAATTGAAAAAATAACTAGGTATATCGAATAACTAGGTAATTATTATCTTTTATGGTATCTCTAACATTTGCTTTGTTTCTTTTATTTTACAGGAGAACAAGAAGTCTAAATGCACCCAGTCCTGTTCAAACTTTTGGGAGATGTGGGCGTATCATGAAAAATTCTGCGATGGTTATGTAAGTAACTCATCATATCTTATTGGAAATATTGAAACGCGAACAATTATTTCATAAAGTGTTTATTTCTTCTTTAATTAAATACTTTATTCTTATTTACGTCATGTTCAATTTGCATTAAGAATTTTTCTCGATTATATTCCCATTTTATATTTACATCGATAATTAAGTTACAGAAAAATCATTTCATGGTCATGTCATCAATCAGATTTATTTAATACTCGTAAATCGATATTATCGAAATTAATTATAATATATATTGATTAAAAATAATTATTAATCTTCGGAAGAGATAGACGTAGATGAAAAATTCCGTGTACGTAGCGCTTTGGATGATATTCGCTTTCTTTGATAACTTTTGAAAACTTAATAATCGTCTTCATTAGCAAACAATTATATCAAGATGCTAATCGCGACGTTTATGTACATGTTGAAGGTACTAGAAACGATCGACGAAACTCATTTGCGTTCTTTTTTGCAAGAAATGATGACTAAGCATAATACTATATGTAAAGAGAGCTTTTTAAATGTACACGTAACACTGAAGTGTTACTTTTTTATCTCTTTCTTATAAACTTCCACGTGCGTTATTATTATAATTATAATTATTATTATATATATAAAAAAAGAATCATGGCTAATTATTATATTGTCATTTATATACTCTATTCTTATATCAATATTAATATTATAACATGTTATAACCGATTTAAATTAATTTTTAATTTCTCGTGATTACTTAAAGAATCTTTTCAGACACAAAAGAGAATAAAAAAATGATTCAAAGAATAAAAAATTAATCGAAAAGAATGTTTTTAAGTATATAAGTTTGATATTATTACTGACGATTTATAGAAAATCAAATGCGCTTCACGTTTATATCTTCATAACTGGTTTGTCATATGTAATTAATATCTATACAGCAAAAAATTTATTTGGGAATCATTAATAATGGACATTTCGTTATGAATATGAAATCTTCTTTTAATTAAAAAACTCGTGTTTGTATATATACAATAAATCAGATGCCGGCGACGATTGATGATGATTTCCCGCGTGTGCATGTGACGTGCACGCGCATGCGCAGCGTTTCCCGTTTAAATATCTATCTTACATAGTTGTGTGGTCGGTAAGCGCGCGTTCAACAGCCAGTGCTTCATCATGGTAGGAGCTGAGAGGTAGGTTGTCGGTGAACATAGTAGTTTTGAAAATGTTCAGATAATAGCTGAGTTTACTTCGTGGAGAGATGCACGCTAGATCGCACTTCCATAAACAGCGATTGCCAATTGCAAAGGATTTACATTTTATTTCCTCAGTTATAAATTACGTGGTGAATGTGAATTGAAATCTTGGTGAAAGAAAAAAAATCCTGCTATTTGCGAAAATTTATTTGTGTAAACATTGCTGGTGCTCCGTGTATTTAATATGAGTTATTCTGAAATTTTTGTTAAATTAATAAACTCCATGTAAGTTTCATGTATGTTTTCATTTCATTAATAACTTTGTCTCTTTATTTTTTCTTATAGAAAACATTTAAGGATTATACTTACTTTTATAATTTTAATATTTACATTGAAAAAAAATTATGAAAAATTCACAAATTATTCTAAATCGCATTTAAAAATAATATAAAAAAACTTTAGTGGCAGTTTAGAATGTGAATAAAAATTATTTAAATAAATAAATAAAAGTGTGTTCTAATAGAAGTGTAATTAAAAAATAACAAATTTAATAATAAATTTAATAATGACAAGTAATGAAAAATTGCAGAATTATTCAGAATTCAATATTCATGTAAAATTTCATTGCAATGCAGAGATTAGATCTGTAAATAAAAATTTAATTTTATTTATACTATTACTCATTTCGTTTGTATTCTTAATAAAAATTCAATTTTTATTTACAGAACAACTAATCTCTGCATCACAATAAAACTTCAAATAAATAGTCTTGGATATTTAAAGTGTTTATATTAAAAAATTAACATTTTTGTCATTATTTCTTAATTATATTTCTATTGGTATTAAGTACATTTCTACTTTATATTTAAATAATTTTTTATCCGGTTCTAAATTTTTTGTATTACTTTTAAATGCGATCTAGAATAATTTATAATTTTTTCATTATAAAGAAAATAAGTGTAATATATTTTTAAAAATTATTTGGAATATTATTATTAATTTATAGCTTATTTTAGAGTTTATATTTCAATTTAAAGCTTAGCAATCAGATAAATTATCAATTCTTTATATGATTCTGACACATAAATATTCCACAATTATCTGAAGAATATTTAAAGTTAAGCAACGACGCATTTACATAGATAACTTCGTAATTGTAATTTCACTAATCGAACACATGCAATATTCGTGGAAAATACAATTTAGTGCGATTTGGATCGATGTACGAAAAAAACGCATGTACATTGCTTCAATTGGTAGGAAAAAAGAACAGAAATTTTGGCGTTTAATCAGTGCGTGGTGTTTACAGTGTCATCGCCGATATTTGGCATCATCAAGTAAATTTAGTTTTAGTTTTTTTTTTTACTTGATAGATGATTCTAACCGGTTACCGTATAAAAAATTACGATAGTCGCATTAATTAATATTTTTACAATATGTTCGAGTATATTTTAAATGCCACTTGTCTCTGGCTGATCTTCGTAGATAAATATTTAGAGAAAAAATATCTTTATTGTGCAATTTTTCTTGTTTCGCTGTATTTCTTTTAATTCAGTCCATACTCACGATGTTGTTATCGAACTCATGAATTTTCTGTTGTTGATCGTTTCTCTCTTTCGAATTCAAAATATGCAAAACTAAAATTTGCGTACCGAACTTTGCATAACACAATAATAAATAATGTAAACCACCAATAATCATAAAAGAAATCGCCACCGAGGTCGATGCTTCTCTTTTTACATTTCATCGGTCATCACCTTTGTCCACTTGATTCGATTGCCTCTTCAAGTCTGCACAGAATACGATGGCTTACGAATAATTAGACAATGTCTGTAAAATCGATATAACATATCGTAAACGTGCGGCAGATTATCAGAAATGCGTAAATGTAAAATTTGTTTTTCCGATTAAATTCACATGAAATATCGATGCCTTTCAATCTTATTTTAACATACGACCTTAGTCCGCGATAAGTTTGTTTTATTCTAAGTATAATTCTGATATATATGGAGAGTGCGTCAAACGGCAGTTCAGTTTAACTGATAATTAGATATTAGAAAATTTTATATTAGAATTACATAACAATTATAATAAGGATTTTTCTTGCTCATTTCAGGACCATTCAGGATCCAGCCTCACAGAGGTTGACATGGTACAAGCCACCTCTTTCCGTTTTGGTCATCAAGAAGGTCCGCGATTCGTCAGTCCTGCCACCATTTGTTCAGTTGGTTACATGGTTGATAGAGGTAAATGTTAATAAGACCATTTAAAATATCAGAAGATTGCGATATACCTATCTCGAAATGTTGATTAGCGAGTCCACAGACGACTGATGTCAGCAACTGACTTCCCGTAATAAGATATCACAAAAATTAATTTATTTGCTTGAAAAAGCTATCCTAATTTCCAATTCATATTTTTGACATATATTCTTAATATTAATATTAATTTTGCCTTAATTTAGCTGTCAATGTTAATATATATATTGTTCATATTGTATATATAAAAGTATTATTTATATGATAATATATAAAGAAGAATCTTGTTTTCTCTGAAAAAATTTTGCACGCATTTATATATCTTGCTTTAAAATCACATTGTTGTATATACAATTATTTTTGATATATGACTATTCTTGATTGAAGAATAGTTTGTTATCTCAATGTTTCTTTTATTTTTAATATTTTTAAGTTTTCCAAAAGATCTGAAATTCGATTGATCTCAATCGAAATTCCTCTTTAATTGTAACCCTATACTATAATAGATTGATTGATGAAAAATGGATTGGATTGTTTTAGGAGAAACGAATGGTTGTGTTTGTGGAAGCCTCTGTTTTAGAGGACCCGGCTCTTGCCAGGGATCCTAGGTTTCAAGTTGTACGAGACAGATTACAAACCTTTAGGGATGGTACAGATGACTTGCAGGTAATGACACTTTCTATTTCAATATGTTTAGAGAAATTTGTAAAATAAGTATAAAAATAAAAGTTTCTTTATTTTACATATTTACAATTTAATTAATAATTTATTTATTGGACAACAAAAATAAACAATATTACATAAAATACTATATAAAATATATTATTAAATTATATTATTATTAAATATATATATAATAAATAAAAATAATAAACGATATAATTTTTATTAATTTCGAATTATTTTTCACTTTCCTTTTTCATTTCAAATAATATGCATTTTGTTTTTGTTTTCTAGGATAAAATTGATTTTATTGTCTGCTTGGGAGGTGATGGCACACTTCTCTATGCCAGTTTGCTATTTCAACAGTCAGTGCCACCCGTAATGGCATTCCATCTTGGTTCCTTAGGATTTCTCACACCCTTCGAATTTGACAATTTTCAAGAACAAGTGACGAATGTTCTTGAAGGTTAATTATTATAATTTATTATTATTTATATCTTTTTCCTTTTTCTTAATTATCTAATTTCCATTCTATCTTATTCCCGGGTATTCGCAGGTCATGCAGCTTTAACTTTAAGGAGCCGTCTAAGGTGTATCATCATACGCAAGAATGAGGATAGTCAACCGACAGAACCACCGACAAATCTTCTAGTACTGAATGAAGTTGTAGTAGATCGAGGGCCTTCACCTTATCTTTCAAATATCGACTTGTTCATTGATGGCAAGCACGTGACGAGTGTCCAGGGTGATGGTTTGATTGTGAGCACGCCGACCGGATCAACCGCTTATGCAGTCGCTGCTGGAGCCAGCATGATTCATCCTTCAGTTCCTGCCATTATGATCACACCGATTTGCCCTCATTCTCTATCCTTCAGGCCGATTGTCGTACCTGCCGGGGTCGAACTGAAGGTAGTTCTTTAAACTTTTGCTAACTCTCTAAATTGACAAAGAAATGCACTAATGGAATCTTTTATATAGACTTGTAGTAGTATCGAGTTAAAAATTTTTAAATAATTTTCTTTCCAAAGCGAACATTTTTTGAAATGTTCCTAATTTTATGGATCACGTTTATAAAATTAGGAATGTCTTTAATTCGTTTATTTTAAAATTTATAATAAGTATTAGTGCAGCATTGTCATTTGAGAGTCAGTAAAAGTTTTTTTTTCATACTGGATCTATGGCCTCAATCAATATTCCATAAAAGCAAATTTGATTTCAATGAACACATTTCGTACACACCCATATGCTATTTCTATGAAGTTTTTGCTCAAAAATTTTCAAAATGTTCAAATTTCCTGGAAATAATTCATTTTTTTCTCATAAAAGTGTCAGGTGTAATTAAGAAAAAATTGTTTCTATAATAGGTTAATCTTCGATTAATTATTTGAAAATTTAAAAATTAATTTAATATAGTTACTTTATTTCAATTTGAAATTTATTTCCTGAAATTAAGATATTTTTATGCATCGTCTAAAATGATAACAGAATCCTTAAAAGAAATTTGCGTCGAAACAACAGACTTTAAAAAAAGAGAAATTAACATAATACTTTGAATCAAACGAGCCGCACCGGTATCACTATAATTGTTAGTAATTAACATAATAGTCTTGCTTTCCACCATAGATCTCGGTTTCACCGGACAGCAGGAATACCTCGTGGGTGTCCTTTGACGGTAGAAATAGGCAGGAGCTCTTCCACGGTGACAGGTAAAACAGAGATGCTTGACAGCTCCATCTAATCATTTGCCTTTTCTACAATTATTTCAGATAATGGCGAACAGCAATACCCGCAGTACAGCTTACGTCTCCTTCGACGGTCGCAATCAGCAAGAGCTGCGTGTCGGTGACAGGTTCGTCCTGCTTTCGTAAAGAGCACCGTTTCGCCTTTCTCTCTATATCTACGCCTCGTTGCATCAAACGTTATATCCTATAATTGTTTTTTTTTTTTTTCAAAATTTCAATTATAAATTTTATAAACTACTTTGCGTAAGATATCTCTTTCTAATAAGCTTATTTTGCTCAGTATAATATCTGGATGTTTTTTATTCTCTTTTATCTTATATTCACGATAAGATTTATCATTTATCTTTTCATTTATTAATCATTTTGAAAAGTTATCTAATAAATGCTTATTCTCTGCCTGATTTTAATATATTCTCTTTGCAATCCATATTTTAAGATATTCTATGCTAGAATATCTTTTTGGAGCGAGACGTTGGCTGTTCTGCAGGGTGACGGTACTTTATGTTTTATTCATACTTGCGATACAAATTTTATGCATAAATGTTAAACTAAAGGCTTTTGCTTTTCGTAACGAAATCATTGCAAAAATATTTTCTTCCACACGAACATGTACTAATTTTATTGTGTATAACCGTTTTCTTATAAGTTTCTTATAAGTAAGTATTATCGTTTTCTTATAAGTACATTTTTTTCTACAAATTGCTATAAATTGAAAAGCAATTAAATAAATTTTGCTTATGTCAATTTATTTTATTGCAAACAATTTTCTTTGCAACAATATTAACTTCTGCTAAGATCTAATTTAATTTCATCAAATTGGATAATTGCTAGAAAATAAAGTGTATAATTTTTCAGTTTGAAGGTAACTACTTCTATATACCCGGTACCTAGCATTTGTGCAGCCGATCAGATCACGGATTGGTTCGATTCCCTAGCCGAATGCCTTCACTGGAACGTCAGAAAGCGACAGAAGCACTTGGACGAGTTGAGCGACCTCGCGCATTCATCCAGTAATGATACTTTAGATTCCCTCGATCGGGATAGTTAGGTTAAAGGGAACATTCGTTTATAGACTACGTAATACAACTGACAATATTTGACCAAATGAATAATCGTATTTGGCTAAAAAAATCGAATATTTAAAATAGATTACTCGACAAGTTTCTAAATAATCTCGCCCTCATCGATTAAAACTTTTTTAGCGAAGTTTTGTTACATGTACAGAAAAAAATCGATAAAGAAAGTGATTAGCTGCCAGCTAAAGCTATGCTCTGCACGATTCTCTTGAAAGAAACAGAAAATATCTACGTATTTACGAGAGAAGAAAGATGGATATTGTGTAATTGAGATTACAAAAATGAGCATGGATTATGATTCTGTAAAAATCTAATAAAATGCATTTGTCTACGAAGAGAAATAAATATTAACAGTGAAATATTATTTAACTCAATTAGCTTTTGAGAAAATAATATTAACTATTAATAGTCTGAACAGCGCGCGTTTGGATTTATACAATTTATTTATTAATAACTGCGTCTCGGCTGCAAAATGCGACCTATCGATTTAATTAAATGTA